ATGAAATGTTTTACAATTGCTCTTCAAAAAGTTTTCAGTTCGCATTTGCTATAGCATTTTTATGGGTCGTATGAAGTATTTACTCATTAGTACTAAGGTCCTCCACTAATCGTTAGCTGCGTAGCCGTAAATTTGTAATGCCAATGAAAAAGTGGTATAAGTTGACAAATAAGCTATTTTGTAGAGATAACTCAGATAAGATTGCATGCTCAGCAATACGTGCTAATCAAGTAGAAATTATTTTATTAATAATAGCTACATATACTTGTATTATTAAATTTATATACGAAGTTAATTAGGCACATAAAATAGTGCGTAATACTCGATATTAAAAAAGCAGTGGACAAATAGTTAAGATAAGGCTACTGCCTCAAGCATCTCAAGGTCGTTCCATTTTCATTCAATACAGTAGAGACTGAAGAGTCCACTGCAATGCATTTTGGTGTGTGAAAGTTTGTCAATCACTTGATTCCTACCTATTTACTGACTTCTCTGACCATGGTGGCATTAGTTGAGAATTTTCTTTTACTATTATACTATCTGACAACTGAAATTGGTACAACCTCTCTACAACAAACTTTATATGATCTTTGTTAGTCATATGTCTCACAGCTGTTTGATTACGACACGAAAAATTGGTCTAACGATTTTTACCCTGAAAAAAAAATAAACAACGTAGTTTTGTATTTCCAATGGAAGCATGCCTACGAAATCGTCGAAAATATCGCTGAAGTGTTTTGTAGAGTATGCTTTATCGCAAACACAAGTATTTGAGTGGCATAAAGCCCCCAGTGAAGGTGCGCAAGCATATATCGTGAAGTCATTGAAAACTTGGCTCATGCGAGTCGTCCATCCATCTCTTTTAATGACGATATCATCGAAAAAGTTTAAAAAAAAAATAGTGCTTGAAAGACGTCGTGTTGGCAGAGATATAATCTCAACATATCTTATGGATCGACTAAACACATTTTGGTTAATGTTTTTCGTACGAAGCGTGTCAATGCTAGATTCTTACAGCAAATTGGATTAATCGTTAATATGCTGGCTGAGGAGTATATTTTGTAGGCGCTAATTTTTATTAAAATAAATAAAAGTTTTTATTTTGTTTGTCCGTCCGCGTCAAATTTGCTAAAGTGCAGTTCTTGCCACTAATTGATTTCGATTCTCCTAAAGCCCGCTTAGTTCAATAGCAAAATAATGCAAAATCGCTGCTTTCGTCATGTTGTTGCTTTAGTAGCATGAAACAATCCATAATTTGTTTAGGGGTCTCATTTGGCAGCCTTGAGTCTGGTGTTGACTATCTTCAAGGTAGGTTAGCTGTTTCGTGCTTCGTTCCTAGTAGCACCACCTGTTACCTCTCGTAGAAGGCTGCATCCCTATTGGCAAAAAACTCGGAGAACCAATTTTCACAGGCCTCTCTTGAGGCTAACTTCTCACCATTAAGCGCGTTCGCCATGGACAGGAAAAGATGGTAATCACTTGGTGCCAGGTCCGGATTATAAGGTGGGTGCACTGGGACCTCCCATCCGAGCTCCCGGAGCTTCTGGCGCGTCACCAATTTGGCCTCTGTTGATCAAAGATGGCCTCTTTGGCCGGTTGTTGGCAGTAGAGGGCCGAATTGAGCGTTTGGCCATAGGGGAGCAGCTCGTAGTAGATGATTCCTTGCCAATCCCACCAAACACACAGCAAAACCTTCCTAGCCGTCAATCCGGTCTTGGCCACCATCAGGGCCGTTTCCCCGAGCTTTGACCACGACCGTTTGCGCTCGATGTTGTCGTAAGTGACCCATTTTTCATCGCCAGTCACAATCCACTTCAGAAACGGGTCGATTTTGAGGCGATTCAGCAGAGACTTACAGATGGAAATTCGGTCCAACATGTTTTTTTGCGTTAGTTTGTGTGGCACCCAACCATCAAGCTTCTTTTTGAATCCAAGGTTAGGCAAATGGTTCCAAACGGTTTTCTGGCTTATCTTTAGTTCCTCAGCAATAAAATAAGTGCTCACGTGACGGTTTGTTTCCACTATTTCCATGATTTTATCGCAATTTTCGACGACAGGCCTCCCGACGCGTGGTGCATCTTTGACATCGTAATTACTGGAACGGAACCTAGCAAACCACTTTTGTGCTACACGTTCGTTTACAGTATCGAGCCGATAAACTAAATTAATTTTTTCAGCCGCTTTGGCTGCTTTTTCGACTTGTTCGAAGAAAAATTGTAAATTATAACGAATTTTCTCTTTGCTGGTGTCCATCTTTGACGAGCGCTCACTACGTACTGAGTCAATCAATCGAAAAACTGTCAAAGACAAACTTTTAGCGCGAATAAACACGTTTTTAGCGCCGTATAGTATGACATGATGCGACACGTAACACTAGTACTATGGACAATAACGCCATCTCTTAGATAAAAACCGCACGAACTTTTTACTTGACCTAATATAACGTCTAACAAAAATAATTTCTTTGCCCACTGCCAACATTTCGAATAATTCTTAGCTTCAACGTTTTTCTTTTTGTATTTCCATCAAAAAGTCTTATTCTACAAATTGCGTAGGCAATAATTTTTTTTATATACCATTACTAAAAGTCTAAAATAAAATAGTTTCAACTCTCCATTAACTAACGCCAGTTAATTACATTTCGCAACTATATTTCACATAACCTAAAATCAAAGTCCAACTCAATTTGGCTGGCACTTCGTTTCGCACACTCACCAAAATTATGCCATTTACTTATTACACACTTTAATCGAATAAAACTTGTATCCTTTGCCATGATTTATACTCACCTCATTCGGGTTCGCACACAAAATTATTCATCCTTTTCTAATTGCCACTACATCATCAACGCCTACGACATTTCTTAGCTTTGCCGTTGCATACTTGCAGGCGCGCAAGCATATACACACGTGTGTGCGTTTGTGTGCTATTGTTTGTCTTGCGCGTATGCGGCAACCCACATAAATGTGTATCGCAAGTTTTACAGGGGTTGCTGGCTGTTGTTTCGTCGTCATTGCATCGCAACGTTATGAATTTCAGAATTTCATCAAAAGGCATAGAGCGAACCGACAAGATATGTATCTATCTATTGTATCTATGCATCTGTGAATGTTGGCGTGTGTGTGTGTGTGCGAAAAACCCAATTTACAGACGCTTAAATGGCAAGTGAAAAGCGCCTTCAAGGCGGGTTAACCGAACGAAAGGTCGCACGCCAGCCGGACCATATGCCTAGCGCGTTTCGTCAATCGGCCAAAAGCCAGAAAAAGAGCGAGAGAACGCAAGTCAACGCACACGGAGAGTGTGTGTCGTAGTGCAAGAGCAAGAGTGTACACGCGCGCGAGTTAAGTTTACTCGGAGAAATTTGATTTTCAAATACAAGAAAAGTGCGTTTCGTGAGTGTAAAAACTTGAGCGCGCGCGTTTTCCTTCACTGGCCAGTCGCTAATGACGATTGATAGCAAGTTTGCGCTCGCTCGTGCCTTTGTATGTATGTGTGTGTGGCGCGACGACGCGTTATCGCCATCGTATCCTTAGCGCCGTGCCACGCATACAACAACAGTAAGGTGAGTAGAAGTTATCCGTGCCGCCGCTCCGCACTGTAGCATAACAGAATAACAGTGTTTTTCAACTTTGGTCACGCATTGACGCGACGCGTAGTTGCCACATGCGCGTTATTCATTATTTTAATATGGTTATACTAATTTTGTTTGCCAGCTAACGGTGTATCCGGTGTCGCTCGACATTTCTATGTCACACACACACACATGCAAACTTTTCGCGTAGTTTTTGTTGCAGTTGTTGCTTTAATTATGCGCAGGAGCAGCATTAATTTCTTGTAGCAGCGCATTCGTCAAACCGTCAGCAATGCTGGTATATCAGCTGTACATAATGTTCACTTGCGGCTTAGCGCGGCCGCAGCTTCGCTCCCGTGGGGCGGGGCGGCTCTATACCGTTATATCGTATGATTTTTAATATAGATACACTATTAGCGTTTGGCGTTGCTTTGTTGGTATGCTGAAAAAAGTATAACACCGTTAACCGCCGCACTGTGGCTGGCGCGCGGTGGGTGGCGTTTGCGTGCGGCACACGCCGCATACTCAATTAATCGATTCGATTTGTTCGCGCGGCGTGTGTACACATTTTTACTTTGCTCTAGGCGTTTTTATTTATTAAGGGTTACTTGTACATCATGCCTTGGATCTATACATTTATGTGTATTATATATATATATGTGTGTGTGTGTGTGTATGCGTGTTCTATTTCAGCATTTGATATTTGTGTAATTGCCAGGTAGGCGCACATTTTTCTGCGCTTTGGTCGCGCTATTTGGCATTTCGGGTTGACCGCTTTTGCTGTATTTTACTCTATTAACTTGTTGTTGTTGTTGGTGGTGTTACTGTTGCTGACGCTTTTTATACGCTTGCATTATATTAAATTATTTGCTCTCATGAGAGTGTTTTGTCATTTTTTCACCCCTTTTTCGGCTTTGTGGTATACCTTTGCGCGTTTCTATTGTTATTGTTGCTGTAATAGCATTTGTTATTGTTGTTGTTTTTTCATTTTTGGTATGCATTCTGTTGATTTTTCGTTGTTTATGCGCAATCACTCGCCGCTGCTGGTTTTCTATCAGCACATTCATAGTTTTCTACAATCCGCTTTGCACTTTTTCTTTGCGCTTCATGTTTGTATTAGTTGCGTTGCACAGGTTTACAGTTTTTTAATTAATATTCACTTTATTGCAGTGAAATGTTGCAACATTGCAGCGGCGAATTAAATCTTCCACGTACATTTGTGTATGTCTATGTGTGTATGTATGTGTGGCAAAGTAAATTCATATATTGAAATACATGCTCTGACTTGCATTTTTATGCTTGCTATATTCATGTGTGTGTGTGTGTGTGTGTATTAGGCATGTTGAGGGTGATTAAAATGCAATCGCTTATAAATTGATTTTTAATTGCATAACATATTTATTCAATGCTAATCTATGAACATATATTCATATATTATATTATACATATGTACATAGGTATATTTTAGTTTTCTTCACGAAAGCCATAAATATTACGGCAATTACGGGGTTAGTAAGTTGTTTATATCTACAGCCACTTGAGGAGATTTGTATTGACTTATCGAGGCTAATGACCCTGTCATTGAAGTAATTGATGAAACAATTATTCTGAAGTAGCTTAAGTCGACTTAATATTTGTTGTGTATTTTGATTTCTCTTAGTAATCTAAGCCTATTTTTTGTATCTGCTTTATCATAGCTTTCGTCAAAAAAAAAAAATATTTACATTTATATTCAACGAGATTAGTCTGGAAAATATTGGCCCTAACAAGCAAAATTGTCAGCAACGCCTAATACCTTTCTGCTACTTTCAAATATCGCTACATAATGCCTTAAGCAAAGAAACATTTAATTGCCTGCTTTATTTGAAAACTGTAAATAGCGACGATATGCTAAATGTAAGTACACGAAATTATTTCGAAAATTTTTTATTCTGTCAATGCCCAAATATATGCATATGCTTGCGAATGATATTAATATCTTGTTACGTCGACCCGTATGTTGAGTTAGTATGTTCTACAGTCAAGGGAGAACCTAAGCCAAATTCGTCCCTACCCGTTCTATGTCCCTATTGGCAAAATGCTCGGACAGTCGATTACTATTATTCGTCAGAGATAGGAACAGTTGGTAATCACTGGAGCCAGGTCCGCACTATAAGGTGCATGCATAAGAACCTCCCAACATAGTTCTCGTAGCTGCTAACGAGTCACAATCTGTCTTGTTCTGATGAAACACAATTTCTCTATAATTGGTCAACGCTGAATGCTTCTGGGCGATTGCTGCCTTCCGAAGGTCTAATTGTTGATAGTACAGCTCCAAGTTAAGATTTTATTCGTAGAGGAGCAACTCATAGATTTTGCTTTCCTGCAAATCCCATCAAACACATAGCAAAACCTTTCTGACCCTCAATCTTGGCTTGCTCCATCAACCTTTTAAGCCCAACATCGGGATTAAAAAATAAAAAATTCATTCATAATCCAAAATTATGGAATATAAAAATTCGCAACCCTGATTAGTACCATAAATACTAATCATATTTTCAGCCAGCTGATTTTAGTTTTCCATTTTATCGAAGATATGGTTTATTTTCTCTTTGCTGGTGTTCATTTTTGCTCGTCTTCAAATAATATTGTGTCAAGCAACCACAAAACTGCCTGAGAAATTTTTTTATTACGAAATCTTATCTTTTTATTTTTTATAATGCATTACCGACTATTTCAAAGCTGATCTGCCTTTTAGAGTTCGCCGTTTTTTATCATTTTTGGAATCTGGAAGAAAAAGAACTGTGGTATTTATCGTTTAAAATTTTTCCAAGAAGAAACGGACGGACAACGGACCCCTATGTAATTAAGCATTAAAATTTCGAACTTCAAAAATTTAGGTCTGTCAATTATTAAGCGATAACGATAAAAACCCATTACTATATTATTTCATAATTGAGCAAGTTTAACAATCCCAATAAAAATCGTTGATTAATTAATTAATTGTGATATAGTCGTGCAGAACTGCCGTAAGTGCGCACAAGATCGTGATGCTATCAGTAATTTAAATTCCCAACTAAACGCTTTGCCTGTTCTGGCCGGTACCGATGCAACAAAAAAGTGTGCGCGGCTACTATGTTGCGGATAATTCAGCAACAACCCTCATTTCTACCTTTTTACCGAAGTGAACTTCTGGAAACACACACACCCATACATATGTATATACGTTTGTATATAGTGTATGTGTGTGTGTGTTCCCCCGCGGCGTGGATTTGTTCACGCCTAAAAGTGCATGTTCAGAATTCATTAAGCAAAAACTGCTGAGTGCCAATGCCCGGCTGTCTACAAAGCGGATTTTCGCCAGCATTGTTGTTGTGAGGCGAGCCCCCTGTGACTTTTTCCTGCTCACATTTCATGCTGATTTTTTAGCATTGCTTACATTTTGCATTATTATTATTATTTATTTATTTTTTTTTGTAATTTTTGATTCATCCATGCATTAAACGCTCCATTGCACAAAACCCGCTTTACATTGCCACCGTCTTTGCTATTGTTGTTGTTGTTGGCTATTACAATACGATTATAATTAAAAATGCCAAACTATAAAATCAAAAGCTGTCAGCAGCTACCTACCGTCACTTACACACACACACGCACACAGATACATGCATGAAATTCGCATAAAAAGTTCGGGCGCATACGCCTCATTCGTCGTCTGGCGTACTGGTTTGCTGGCTTGCCGATGTACGTGTCTGTAGCGTAGCGTCGTCGGTAGTCGGACGTCGTCAGCCGCAGTCTGCCACTCAACAGTGCGATTGCACGAAAGTGCCTTGGCAAAGCCTTCGACTTCCACTTGAATTGTCCTACAAACAGACTTTTTTGCCCACGATCAACTAACCAGCGACACAGAGTAAACAAAAAAAAAAACACAGAGAAAACCCGGAACGTGAAAATGAAAAATGCAAAACGCCAGCAAACAATAAAAAGTGTAGAAAAATGAGTTTCATTCAATTGAAAATGAAACAAAACGCCGACAGTTGAGTTTTTACGCTATGCTATCTTGGGTTCAGCTGCCACTTTTTTTTTTTTACCTAACTACGTGGTATTTGAACCCTTGGTCAATTTGTTTGTTGCCTTTTACCGTTCAGCGCGCTCGGAAGTGAATTTATGTGTGTGTTTGACGGGGAATTCGCCTTGGTATCCTTTTTGCACAGTGGGATTATTGAAATATATTGAATAGCAATGCTTTAGTGAATGGTGTTGAACTTAGTGGGATAAGCTTAGGAGTTCCCGCAGCGAAATAAATGGAATAACTTCAGAGCTTTCCCAAACCGTATGGCATAGGGGTTATTAACTTGTAGCAAACTTATTTTTATTTCTTTTTAGTATGACCTTGAGAGCTTACATTCCACGCTCTTAGATAATCCATAGTCTCACATCACTGCTTATGGTTTACATGTGCACATCACGTGACTTGATATCCGAACAATGCCTTTTCAGCTTAACCAGCTATGTATATTCAGATCCTATACGGAGCTGAGAAGTATCATTGAGGTATTGAACATCATATATATATATATATATATATGTAATTTAAAATGATTTTGTGGATACCCTTAGCCATTTTAGTAATCTTCCGGTGCTCCCTAAACCGGAAAGCGTTACACGTATTATACCTACCCAAAACGTCCGATTCGTTTTTACGCTCTTTTCATACACATAAGGGACATACTTTCTTGATTGCTATATTATTTCTTGGAAACTTTAAGGGTCACACCTAGTGTCACGGCCTAAAAGAACGTCGCTGTTTGGGAATTAAAACAAAAAACTATATCAATAGTTTTCGAATTTTCAGCGTATATTTATGCATGTTTCAAGAATATTTTTTGCATCATACGAGATCTCCAACTACGTTTTAAAAAAGGCCTTCACTGCTACTGTGATTCCGGGCTTCTCCGTGGATGAAACCCAAAAATAAAAAATTCTCATTAAACTCTCTTAAATTTTTTAAAAATCAAAAATTTCTAAAATAAAAATTTGTCAAAATGGTGGTGTTTAAAAAACAAATTTGCATTTTACTTAAAATTTATGTCGTTTTTGCCCTGCAAAAATTCGATTTTTGTTCAAATCAAAAAAGCGATAAGTCTGTGTGTGTAGAATAATGTACAGAATAGGCAGATGATCGGATTATTTGCCTTCGTGTTATCACTGCAGCAAATTTGAAAAATGCTGTTTCGAGAAAAACGCGTTGACGGCTACACTTTGGAAGGCTTTAACCTAAAAACTGTTTGAAGTGTGGTGTGCTCCTTAACTGGTTCGCTAACTTTCTATTATCTTCATACATTTTTCAAAGCTCTCACTGTATCCCCACAAAAGACTCTCTCCAACAAAAATGCATTTTTCACTTTTTTGTCAGACAAGGCCACACGAAGCCGCGCCAATAGTTAGCAAACGGCTACCGCAAATAACTGTGAATAATTCGCATACTCGCTATACTATGTACACCATAGCAAGAGACCGCAAAAGCGGCAACGAACAAAGCCTGAAGAAGAAACAATTTCGAAGCAAAAGAAGAAACGTAAATCAAAGGTCTTGGGAGCCGCAGCTATTGTAGCGAAATCAATACTGTGTTGTAATCGGACGCTTATTGCCGGTAGCATTGTTGCCGACACATTGACATTGGCAATAAAGAATTGAAATTGATGGCGGGAACTTTTTTTTATTTTTTTTTTTTTATTGGTTTCATGGAATTTTTTGAGTGTCATTCTGGATTTTTTATATTAGTTTTTTATTTTAGTAGAGATAATTTTGTTTTACTTTTCATATTCTTCCAGAGTAGAATTGTTAATATAAAACATATTTTGATACATTGGACTGAAATTGGGTTGTTTCCTGTACGCCGAAATGTAGGCAACATTTATGTTTCAAGATGTTTATGTGGATTTTATGCATAAATATTGAACCTCAAGGAGGAAATAGGAATCAATATCAAATATAAAAAAATGCATTATATAATAAAGTTTTAACAAATGCAAAATGCAAAAACAAAAAAATTTATCGAGTATCTATCTAGTATACCGAAATGAAAATAAAAAATTTTTAATTTGTAAAAAAACATAAATCTATTTTAAATCGACAATAAAGAACAATATATATTAATATGATATTACTAAATATAATAGAAAATAAAAAATATTGATAACATATCGAAAAAATCGAGCTATCGTTACAAAATAAAAATCGGAAAGTAACGAACGTAATTAATTGGCAAAAAAAAAAAATCTGAATACAAAATTATAGAATAACAAGCTTCCATAATACTATGTACCAGTTATACAACGGTATTTAATTTCAACCATTGCACAGCTGGAATTTCCCTCCGCTTTATTCTTAAGTACCGAAAAGAAATTTCAAACAAAAAAGTGCAAAAAAGAATCGAAATTCAATGCATATGCATATAGTAATGCAAATGCCTGAGAAAAAAGTGCACAATTGCCTAGACTCTATACACAAGACGACTGACTACGTACGAGCGAGGAGAGGCGACCAATGTTACTCGACTACGGCCCACCGCCTGTGGAGTTGCTTTGTGAGTGCAATTTCATTACACTTGAATGCGTGCGCGTTCAGCTCGCTGACTGGAGACGGGGGAATACCCACTGCGTCCGGCATTCACCGAATGTTTGCCTAAATTGTTGAGACTGACTTCTTGCACTCGAGCTGTAAAGTCAACAACAGACAGTCAGCTGCCCAACCGCTGCACAACGCTTTGACAACACTTGCTGGCAACGTTCTCGCCTTGCTCTGTTTCGTTTGCTTGTTGTCCCATCGCCAGTCAGTCAGGCAGGCGTGCCGTTCCAGCATATTTGATATGCTAATTTTTTCTGCCGTGTGTGTATTAAATTTTGGTAAATCATTTAAAATTCAGCAAAATCACTTCCGTTCCTTTCCGACCCTTTGCACCTCTCTCACACACACCACTGATGCGCTTACTTCCTTCCTTTCGTTGGTTACCAGTTGAGGCTGGCTTGTTGTGTCGTTGCCACTGGCAATTCGGCATTTTGTACGCCATTAAAAATTCATATGGTAAATATTTGCACAAGTGTCATTGATTCAGCTGGTTGCAACAAATCACATTGTATCGCTTGCTCCTTATTATATTCCAACATTTTCCGAACTCATAGATGTGTGGTTGTTGGTGCTTTTGTAAATGCAAACAGCATACGAAATCAGATTTTGCAACGTAAGTTAATTTGCTGAAGTGGCCACTTCTTGTTGCTATCGTCGCTAACGGTAAATTGTGTATATATGTTGGCATCCTCGGCATTGCCATTGTCATCTACTTAATGTGGTTGTCATTGTGTGCCTGACTTTCGAGATATTTATTTTCGTATTCGTTGTTAAGTGCTTGTGTATGCCTTCATTTACACTTAATTTGTAATATTCCTGACGTCGTTGCCTTCTAATTCGATTCATAAATCTGCTGATCCAAAATAACTGCAAAATCGGAAAGAGAAAAAAATATGTAACCAAACTCAATGATGCCTGATGAATATAAAATCGCTGAAGCTTGTTTGATTTGTAGACAAGTGTTGCGTAGGATAGCATTTGAGCTTAGAAAGGGCAGCAAAGGTATGTGATTCGAATATTTTTTTTTTTTTTTTTAATATTTTTCCATTCAAAATCTATTCTGGTAACAATATTTGCTATTATATTATGATAGCTTCATATAATATTTATTTATTTTTGGTATTGCCATTGAATGAGTTTGATACCAAAAATAGGAATTTTTTCGATGTTTTGAATCCAGCGCCACCTAGCGAAAAGTTCGAGAATCTACGCAGATACCAACAGCTTTACAAATAAACAGCAAAATTTGGATTTAACGCCTTTAAGTGGGTTTCATCCAACTTCTAAGATAGAATAAGGCTATATTTTCAAATGTACATACTAACTTATGTTAGGTTAGAATGGTGGTCTTCGATCTAAAAGCTGCTGAGCGATAAAGTTTGGAATGCTATGAGCACTAAAGCTGATGAAATTACACCCTTTAGATATTTTTCATATATTTTTAATACATATTAAGAGAAGTCAGAATTTAGGTAATTAGTTAGATAATCTTCTGTGGTACGGAATATTTTTTTACGTAAAGCTCGTGAATAGCACGCAATATTTGACCAAGAACTTTGAAACGAAGTGTGACAAAAATCTAAATACTAAAGGAAAGCCTGATCTTGAATATGATAGTTAAACAAACTATTGTCCTTCTAGCATAACACACGAAGAGTATTTTAGGGGTTTGACGCTCGGCATAGTACCATTCTACATTGCAGTCGTTATAAATGTAGGAAAGATTTGCGACTAAGGTTTGTTTTCATTATTATTATGATTTTTTTTATAAGGGACTTTTCTGCAAGAAGTCGGGTAATTAATAACAAGTCGTCCAGATCATTTGAACAAGGTAATGAAACAGCAATACCTCAGAGTACCGTAAAAGGGTCACCAAAAATTCATCAAGCATGACCTAACTTCGCTAAGTCAACTGTAAAAGCAATAATAACTACAACAATAACAACTAAAAATGTGCCACTTGTGCGTTTACTCAATTCCACCGCTCGTTTTCAGCTAAAATAACTCCTCCCGAAATAGCGCCGAAGCGCGTAGGTAATTTCCCACCACTTAACTTCTTCCGTGCACAGTGGCTGTATTTATTGTAGATACAACATACTTAACATATAGACTATATCATATCATTGCCTATATCATTTTCTACACACACATACGCGCACACAATAATTTCTTCAGCTTAATAGCGCGACGGATGGGTTCCAGCGCCGTTAGAGTTGCAGACACCGCGTATTTTCTTGAACTCGCGCACGTCGCAAGGCAATCGTTTTGCAATCGTACTAAATCATGTACTCATATATTTATTTTTTTGTGTGTGTGTGCAAGTGTATCGTGTTCCCACAATGAAAAATGACAACAGGTTGACAGTAATTGGATTATCCGTTGCATGCACGCTTTGTTGTGCATTAAGTGGCTCGTTACTAAAGCAAATAAGCTGATAACGGTTTTTGGTATTTTTTTTT